TTGAGTCTGAATAAGAGTCGTTTTCTATAGAAAACTTGAGTCTGAATAAGAGTCATTTTCTATAGAAAATTTTAGTCTGAATCAGAGTCATTTTTTACAGAAAACTTGAGTCTGAATCTGAGTAATTTTCTATAGAAAACTTGGATCGGAATCAGAGTCATTTTCTATAAAAAGTTTGAGTTTGAATCAGAGTCATTTTCTATACAAAACATGTGTCTGAATCTGATTCATTTTCGATAGAATCTGAGTCAATTTCTATAGAAAACTTGAGTCTGAATCTGAGTCATTTTCTATAGAAAACTTTAGTCTGAATCTGAGTCATTTTCGATAGAAAACTTGAGTCTGAATAAGAGTCATTTTCTATAGAAAACTTGAGTCTGAATCTGAGTCATTTTCTATAGAAAACTTAAGTCTGAATAAGAGTAATTTTCTATAGAAAACTTGATTCTGAATTAGAGTATTTTTTTGTAGAAAATTTGAGTATGACTCAAAGTAATTTTCTACCGAAAACTTCAGTCAAAATAAGAGTAATTTTCATTACAAAATTTGAGTCTTAATTAAATTCATTTTCTATAGAAAACTTGGTCATGAATCAGAGTCGTTTTCTATAGAAAATTTGAGTCTGAATTAGCATAACTTTCTGCAGAAAACTTGAGTCTGTATTAGATTAATTTTCTATGGAAAACTTGAGTATGAATCAGAGTCATTTTCTACAGAAAATTTGAGTAGAAATCAGAGTCATTTTCTGTACAAAATTTGAGTCTGAATCAGTGTAATTTTTTATAGAAAATATGAGTCTAAATTAGAGTAGTTTTCTATAGAAAATTTGAGTTGGAATTAAAGTAATTTTCTATAGAAAATTTGAATCAGAATCAAATTCATTTTCTATAGAAAATATTATTCTGAATGAGAGTCGATTTCTGTAGGAAATATTAGCTTTCTTCTGTGAGAAAGTTCCTAACACTGTGCTCTTACAGTTCTTAATGTTTTTTTTTTATTAAAAAAATTGTTTATCCAGTACTGTACCTATTAGTAGTCCTTGAGAACAACTCCTGCCCATTAATTTGGGCTCATTTTTTCCAACCGCAAAAAAACAAAATATTCAAAACTATACAAACTGTAACCATGTGCCACTAATTTGTGGCTAAATACGATTATTTTCCTGACCATCAAAACGATAACAGACAAGCAGCAACTCAACCAGGCAAACAGGCACCAAAACCAACTAAAAGAAATCCAAAAAAAAAGTAAAAACTACAGGAACAGAATATTTAATGTTCCATGTAAGCGAGAAAATTTCAAGAAAAAATTGTAAGAATTTTGGTAGAAAAAAAAAAAATAATAATAACCAACTCCACAGCAGCTGTAGTACGAAAAGCAAATGACAAAAAGAATTTTGTACAAATTCAACAGCATGATAAATAGTGATAAAGCTGGAGATGCTCTGGCTAAAAAATGAAATTACCAAATGTTGTTGAAACGTTTGGAAAAAACAGCAGCAGTAAAAAAATTGTAAGAAAAAAGAAAATACAACAAAAAAAAAAGCTACAAAACTAAAGTGATTTAAAACGCTGTAAAAGGAACAAAAAAACCAACAACTCAAAAACACTCTTACAGAAAACATAAAAAATTTGTAACATTTTAATGTCATTTGTGTGCCACAATCCAAACGACAACGACTTCATGAATAAAATTATTTTGTTGCTTTTTTTGTTCGTTTGTTTGCTTTAGCTGTAAAACGAACATTTAATTTAATCCTTAAATTGTCATACATTTAAAACAGAAAACTAAATGTCTTTAATACTTTATAATTTATCATAAATTAAATATAATCTCTTTAAAAGACACATTTTCCCACACAAAATGATGGACATACAATTTCTTAACAGAACAAGTTATTAAGTGCTTTTGTATAGAGCAAAAATGTTTGGCATATTTTTAGAATTTCAATTTATTTAAGTGATAATATTCTATACAATTTACATACGTTCAATAAATCCCCCTTAAAAGTATGCTAATTATTTTTGTTTATTTTATGAGACTGTGATAAATGCGAATGTTTTTCGGAAGAAAAATTATTTTTATAGTTTTTTATTTTTATTGGACGTTAATAAGGAAAATAATGAATGTTGTAGGAGGATAATAAACAATTGGTTCTCAGCTGTTTAGAATTTTCGAGAGGAAATTTGAAATTAAAGATAATTAGAGATTGAATCTTAATAAAGTTCTATAGAAAATTTGGATGTGAAATTTTTTTATTAATTTGTGCCTGAATGGTAGTCATTTCCTATAGAAAATTTTAGTTGTATTCAAAGTAATATTCTATGAAAAATTTGAGTCTGAACCCAAGTAGTTTTCTATAGAAAATTTGAGTCTGAATCAGAGTCATTTTCCATAGAAAATTTTAGTCTGAATTAGAGACATTTTCTATATAAAATTTGAGTCTAAATCAGAGTCAATTTACATAGAAAATTTTAGTCTGAATCAGAGTCATTTTCTATAAAAAAACTAAGTCTGAATCCGAGTTATTTTCTATATAAAATTTGAGTCCAAATGAGAGTCATTTTCTATAGAAGATTTGAGTCTGAATCAGAGTCATTTTCTATAGAAAATTTGAGGCTAAATTAGAGTCATTTTCTATAGAGAATATGTGTCTGAATCAAAGTAATTTTCTACAGAGAATTTGAGTCTGAATCAGAGTTGTTTTCTATAGAGAATATGTGTCTGAATCAGAGTCATTTTCTATAGAAAATTTGAGTCTGACTCAGAGACATTTTCTATATAAAATTTCAGTCTGAATCAAATCATTTTCTATAGAAAATTTAAGTCTGAATCAGAGTCATTTTCTATAGAAAATTGTAGTCTGAGTCAGAAGCACTTTCTATAGAAAATTTGAGTCTGAATCAGAGTCATTTTCTATAGAAGATTTGTGTCTGAATCAGAGTCATTTTCTATAGAAAATTAGTGTCTGAATCAGAGTCATTGTTTATAGAAAATTTTAGTGTAAATCAGATTCGTTTTTTATAGAGAATTTGAGTCTGAATGGCAGTAATTTTCTATAGAGAATTTTAGTCTGAATGGGAGTCATTTGCTATAGAAAATTTGAGTCTGAATCAGAGTAATTTTCTATAGAAAATTTGAGTCTGAATCGGAGTCATTTTCTTTAGAGAATTCGAGTCTGAATCAGAGTCATTTTCTATAGAGAATTTGAGTCTGAATCAGAGTCATTTTCTATAGAAAATTTGAGTCTGAATCAGAGTCATTTTCTATAGAAAATTTGAGTCTGAATCAGAGTCATTTTCTATAGAAACTTTGAGTTTGAATCAGAGTCATTTTCTGTAGAAAGTTTGAGTCTGAAACAGAGTCATTTTCTATAGAAAGTTTGAGTCTGAATCAGAGTCATTTTCTGTAGAAAATTTGAGTCTGAATCAGAGTCATTTTCTGTAGAAAATTTGAGTCTGAATCAGAGTCATTTTCTATAGAAAATTTGAGTCTGAATCAGAGTCATTTTCTATAGAAAATTTGAGTCTGAATCAGAGTCATTTTCTATAGAAAATTTGAGTCTGAATCAGAGTCATTTTCTATAGAAAATTTGAGTCTGAATCAGAGTCATTTTCTATAGAAAATTTGAGTCTGAATCAGAGTCATTTTCTGTAGAAAGTTTGAGTCTGAATCAGAGTCATTTTCTATAGAAAGTTTGAGTCTGAATCAGAGTCATTTTCTATAGAAAGTTTGAGTCTGAATCAGAGTCATTTTCTATAGAAAATTTGAGTTTGAATCAGTATCATTTTCTATAGAAAATTGGAGTCTGAATCTGAGTCATTGTCTATAGAAAATTTTAGTGTAAATCAGATTCGTTTTCTATAGAGAATTTGAGTCTGAATGGCAGTCAATTTCTGTAGAGAATTTTAGTCTGAATGTGAGTCATTTTCTATAGAAAATTTTTGTGTGAATCAGAGCCAATTCGTAAGGAAAATTTGGGTCTGAATCAGAGTCATTTTCTATAGAAAATTTGAGTTTGAAACGGAGTCATTCTCTAAAGAAAATTTGACTCTGAATTAGAGTATTTTTCTATAGAAAATTGAAGTCTGAATTAGAGTCTAAGAATAATTTCTATACAAAATTTAAGTATGATTCGTGTCTAGATGAGATTGTGTCTAGATGAGACTTCTTTTCTATACAAAATTTTAATTCTGTAGGGAATATGAATCTGATTAATATTAATTCTCTCAGAAAATTTTAGTGTTATTGATGCTCTTCTTCTGTAGAAAATTTAAGTCTGATTGAGTAGAAAAATTGGGTCGGTTTAGGAGTAATTTTGGGTAGATAAAGATGCAATTTCTAAAGAGAATTTAACTTGTTAACAAAGTAAGTTTTAATCTGATTGAGAGTAAGTTTCTTTAAAAATTTAAATTTTATAAACACTCATAAGGCTTTAACTAGTAAATGAATATATTTCATATCTTCAATGAAAATACTTATGAATGTGTAAGAACTTAAATATCTTTGAGTCTGCAAATGTTCACCAAACATAGTTTGGAATAGTTGTATGTGTTTTGAAGCATTCACCAAATAATATTTCTATGATTTACAATACTGTTGGTATTTCCTTGAAAACATTTATCTAAATCTTTAATTCAATTCTAACAGTTTGCACATGCAATCGTTTAGTTTCATTTCAAATTTCAAAATTCTATTCATTATAATTGTTAAAATGCTGAAAATGTCATGTAAATTATATTTTGTAACATTAAACTGAATAGAGAATGTCATGGTCATTGTCTTGGACATAATATTAATGACTCTGCATAATTTTGATATTTGTGATATGATTAAATAGTATATAATGGGTGGAAAATACATAGTAAATGAATGACATAGAAATGCCTTAATTTATATTTGTTCCATATTTATGTCAGGAGACTAGTTGAATAGGTAGAGGAGTAGTTAAAAGTAATAATTGGGTGCAGTATTGTTAATCATTAGAGATTAATAATTACCGTCGATTTCCTTCTATAGTTTGATGTTTCCTAAAGATATTACAAATAATAATTTATTAAACAATAATTGGCAAAATGTTAAATTTAAAAAGTTGGATAAAGTTTTTATTATAATTCAGTTAACACTACTACTCCCGCCATACATATGGTACAAGTAAATTTTCAATAAACTTTGTTGTGCAATAACAATTAAAACAAATAATAAATTATTATTCAACAATCAAACAACCATCCATCACATCAAATGTTCACGTTGTTATTAAGACACTCTGGCGTATGATTTCTGTTTATTTATTTAATTAAAAAATGCATTTTATAAATGAATATCACTCATACGTCATGTTAAATCGTTGATTAAACGAAGCGTATTTAAACAAGTTCTCAAACTCTATGAATATTTATGTGAACGTGTGCTTTTTTAATTGAATAGAAAATTTATTTATTTTTGTTTTTTTCATTATCATTTATTTTTAATTTATATGGAAATTATATGTTATTTTAAATGCTTTCAATTTATGGTTTAAAACTCCTGTGTGTGTGTTTTTTTAAGTTGAAATTAAAGTATATTTAAGTGATATTTTAAAATAAATATTTTTTTTTAAATGCTGATTGTTGAAATCTCTCCTTAAGTTTTTTTTAATATTTTAAGTATTCCCACAAACTTAAGTTTTTCTTTAACTAAAGGCTTATATTTAATCACTAATAAACACAACTCTATACACTTTTCACCCACCGAATACAATTTGTAATTCTTGAATTACTTGCAAAAACAATTCTCAAGAGTTTTAAGTACAAAAAAAGGGGAGAATAAGTAGATAGACAGTGTGACAGTTATATAATTCACTGTTTTAATATAATAATTTTAGTTTTCTTCTGACTCAGACTTATTTTCTTTCGAAAATTTGAGTCTGAGACTTATTTTCTATAGAAAATTTCAGTCCCAATTAGACTCATTTTCTATAGAATATTTAAGTTTGATTGAGAATAATTTTCTATAGAATATTTAAGTCTGATTGAGAATCATTTTCTATAGAAAACATGGGTCTGACTTAGACTAATTTTCTATAGAAAATTTTAGTCTGACTTAGATTCATTTTCTTTAGACAGTTTGAATCGAACTCAGACTCATTTTCATTAGAAAGTTTGAGTCGAACTCAGACTCATATTCTTTAGAAAATTTGAGTCTGACTCAGACTTATTTTCTTTAGAAAATTTGAGTGGGACTCAGACTCATTTTCTTTAGAAAATTTGAGTCTGACTCAGACTCATTTTCTTTAGAAAATTTGAGTCTGACTCAGACTCATTTTCTTTAGAAAATTTGAGTCTGACTCAGACTCATTTTCTTTAGAAATTTTGAGTCGAACTCAGACTCATTTTTTTTAGAAAATTTGAGTCTGACTCAGACTCATTTTCTTTAGAAAATTTGAGTCTGACTTAGGCTCATTTTCTGTAGAAAGTTTGAGTCTGACTTAGACTCATTTCCGTTAGAAAATTTGAGTTTAACTCAGATTCATTTTCTTTAAAAATTTGAGTCTGACTTAGACTCATTTTCTATAGAAAAATTGAGTCGGACTCAGGCACATTTTCTATAGAAAATTTGAGTCGGACTTAGACTCATTTTCTATAGAAAATTTGAGTCGAACTCAGACTCATTTCCTATAGAAAATTTGGGTCGAACTCAGACCTATTTCCTTTAGAAAGTTTGAGTCGGACTCTGACTCATTTTTTTATATAGTTTGAGTCTGACCTTGACTCATTTTCCTTAGAAAATTTGAGTCTGACTTTGAAACTTTTTTTTAAAAAATGTGAGGCTGACTCAGACTCATTTTCTATAGAAAATTTAACTCTGATTTAGACTCATTTCCGATAGAAACTTTGAGTTTGATTTAAACTCATATTCTATAGAAAATATTAGTCAGATTTAAACTCATTTTCTATGGAAAATTTTAGTCTGAATATAGACATACAGAATATCGGAGTTTGACCCATTTTCTATGGTATATGGGAGTTTGAGTTTAAGTCTGACCCAGGCTCATTTTCTCTGGAAAACGTGAAAACATTTATTGACTTCTGATAGATTTTCTCTACAACCACATCGTTTCCCTATATATTAGTTACTTCAGATTATTTCATGAACTCTAGTGATTTCTTCTACTGTTGAGTAGGATTTAAGTAAATCCACTTTTTGTAATACAATTTCCTTTCATGTTCCCCCCCTCCCCACTTCCTGTATTCATCCACTTATTTCCCCTTTTATAGTTATTATACTTGTTATTACAAGTTTGTCTGTTCTACGTTGTGAAATAATTACCTGTATGTGATCACAGTCCGACCAGGTCTTCAATCTGGGCTCAAATTTCTTATCCTTTTCATTGGTGCTGGGTGCCACCTTAACATTGGTTGTGTCCTGTGTTGAAATCCATACCAGATTACCTTTGGGTTGTTTGACTAAAATTAACGCATGTTTACCATGGGGTACATCGTGCTGCAGACGAAAACGTTTGTTGCAGGAGTCAGTAGCAGCAGCCAAGGAACAATATTAACAGGAAACATAAAAAATTGTAGTTTATTTTATTTTGTTGCCAAGACCATCATCAGTGTTTGCAAAAAAAAAAAAAAAAAAAAAAATACAATAATAATAATGGAAAAATGGACAGAAAAAAAGAGGATTAAAATTTTATTATTATTTCTTTTTTCAAGTTAAACAATTTTTATAAAATAAGTTAAAAAAAGTTAATGGATTTATTTTTTTCGTAAAAATAACTAAATGTTTATTTGTTTATGTGTGTGCAAGTTGCTGGAAAATGAATGATTTATGGCTCGAAGGAGTTTTGTTGATTTCTTTTTTTTTTATTTAAAGTTTTTGTTGTTGACTGTGGTTTTTATTAAATAATATTTTTCTTTTATAATTTTTTGTCATTAGTGGTCAGAGATGTAAAAGTGGCTGAGATGTTGTTTGTTTTAAAGTAAAAGGGGTCATTTAAGGACATTGCATATTACATCTTTAAACTGAACTTTACTAATTACGAATTTAAGTTTAAAAAGAATTTCTTTTCATTTGAAAAAAACGAATCCCTGTTTTGTCCTCAATTATCCATTACATTTTCTAAATGCTTTTTTGTAACTCTATCTAAATTGTAGTAAAAAGCAAAATGCAACAGTATAAAGGAAACCTTCCTTTACAACAATAATATTAACAATGATAAAAGTATCTACAAAAAAAAAAAAAAAAAAAACGACTGGCAATAAGTTTTACTGAAATTGTACAAATTACAAATCATGCTCGTTATCGTTTGCCATTTCAAAACCATTTTCTTTTTTTCTAATATTTCTTAAATTACATTTTATTTTTACAATCTCTTATTTCTTTTCATTTTCAGCAGCTGCTCTTCACTGCAAACAAAAAAAGTAAAGATTGTAGTCATTTAATTTTCCTCTACAATTTTCATTTTGCTTCATTTTCCTTTTTGTCGAACAACTGCAATAAAAATTGTTTTCTTGTCAAAGTAATTGTGGATGATTTCTTTTCTTTGGTAGCTATTTTTTTTTATTTAAGAGAAAAACTAAAGTCAAAATCAAACAAAATCAAACTTTAAATTAACTGAACTTTTCTTCAATCACAATACCAAATCAAGTCACTTGTGACAGTGACTTGTTTCTTGCTATTTCCTATTGGACATACAATTTGTTTTCTCATTTCATTTCATTTCCATTCATTAGTCCTGTTCTCTTTATAGTTTCCTTTGTAAGTAAAAGAAGTACTTGATTAGAGTTGGCTGGTTATTTGTCTGTTACAAGTTATAAATATTAGTCATTTTACACTTATTTTGTCAATTTGTATTGGGAAATTTTGAAAAAGGTGTATCTCTGAAGCACACGGATTTAAAGGCTAAAATCCACCAGGACATTCACAAAAGATTAAACACCAAGAATTACAAAATCATAGGGAGCTTTCTTTTTGATTAAAATAAAAATGTTTTTCGAGCACCAGTATTCAGCAAGTCCTTGAGAGAATTATTACTTGTGATGAAAAATAGAGCCCTTAGTTAGTCAGTAAGTTTGATGGATAGAAACATAGATAGATAGATAGATAGATAGATAGATAGATAGATAGATAGATAGATAGATAGATAGATAGATAGATAGATAGATAGATAGATAGATAGATAGATAGATAGATAGATAGATAGATAGATAGATAGATAGATAGATAGATAGATAGATAGATAGATAGATAGATAGATAGATAGATAGATAGATAGATAGATAGATAGATAGATAGATAGATAGATAGACAGATAGTAGTTAGTAGTTAGTTAGTTAGTTAGTTAGTTAGTTAGTTAGTTAGTTAGTTAGTTAGTTAGTTAGTTAGTTAGTTAGTTAGTTAGTTAGTTAGTTAGTTAGTTCGTTCGTTCGTTTGTTCGTTCGTTCGTTTCGTTCGTTCGTTCGTTCGTTCGTTCGTTGTTCGTTTCGTTCGTTTTCGTTCGTTCGTTCGTTCGTTCGTTCGTTCGTTCGTTCGTTCGTTCGTTCGTTCGTTCTTTCGTTCGTTCGTTAGTTCGTTCGTTCGTTCGTTCGTTTCGTTCGTTCGTTCGTTCGTTGTTCGTTCGTTCGTTCGTTTCGTTCGTTCGTTCTTTCGTTCGTTCGTTCGTTCGTTCGTTCGTTCGTTCGTTCGTTCGTTCGTTCGTTCGTTCGTTTCGTTCGTTCGTTCGTCGTTCGTTCGTTCGTTCGTTCGTTTCGTTCGTTCGTTCGTTCGTTCGTTCGTTCGTTCGTTCGTTCGTTCGTTCGTTCGTTCGTTCGTTCGTTCGTTCGTTCGTCGTTCGTTCGTTCTTTCGTTCGTTCGTTCGTTCGTTCGTTCGTTTCGTTCGTTTTCGTTCGTTCGTTCGTTCGTTCGTTCGTTCGTTCGTCGTTCGTTCGTTCGTTCTTCGTTCGTTCGTTCGTTCGTTCGTTCGTTCGTTCGTTCGTTCGTTCGTTCGTTCGTTCGTTCGTTCGTTCGTTCGTTCGTTCGTTCGTTTCGTTCGTTTCGTTTCGTTCGTTCGTTCGTTCGTTCGTTCGTCGTTCGTTCGTTCGTTCGTTCGTTCGTTCGTTCGTTCGTTCGTTCGTTCGTTCGTTTCGTTCGTTCGTTCGTTCGTTCGTTCGTTCGTTCGTTCGTTCGTTCGTTCGTTCGTTTCGTTCGTTCGTTCGTTCGTTCGTTGTTCGTTCGTTCGTTCGTTCGTTCGTTCGTTCGTTCGTTCGTTCGTTCGTTCGTTCGTTCTTCGTTCGTTCGTTCGTTCGTTCTTCGTTCGTTCGTTTGTTCGTTCGTTCGTTCGTTCGTTCGTTCGTTCGTCGTTCGTTCGTTCGTTCGTTCGTTCGTTCGTTCGTTCGTTCGTTTCGTTCGTTCGTTCGTTCTTCGTTCGTTCGTTCGTTCGTTCGTTCGTTCGTTCGTTCGTTCGTTCGTTCGTTCGTTCGTTCGTTCGTTCTCGTTCGTTCGTTCGTTCGTTCGTTCGTTCGTTCGTTCGTTCGTTTCGTGTTCGTTCGTTGTTCGTTCGTTCGTTCGTTCGTTCGTTCGTTCGTTCGTTCGTTCGTTCGTTCGTTCGTCGTTCGTTCGTTCGTTCGTTCGTTTCGTTCGTTCGTTCGTTCGTTCGTTCGTTCGTTCGTTCGTTCGTTCGTTCGTTCGTTCGTTCTTCGTTCGTTCGTTCGTTCGTTCGTTCGTTCGTTCGTTCGTTCGTTCGTTCGTTCGTTCGTTCGTTCGTTCGTTCGTTCTTCGTTCGTTCGTTTCGTTCGTTCGTTCTTCGTTCGTTGTTCGTTTGGCTGCGCTGGGGCCGGTCTCCCCTGGTTTTTGTTTCCCTCTTCGCTCTCGCTTTTCTCCCTCTTTCTGCTCTCCCTGCTTTCCTGTTTACAAGAAAACGCTTTAATCACCACTTTGAGGAAAGTTACGTTTTTTATTATTTGTTTGCTTAGCTTGTTATTGTTGTTGGGTGGTTTTGCCGCTATTTGATAATTATATATTTTTTTATCTAAATGAGGGTATTCCCCCTCTTAAGTACAGAAGAAAAATGGAGCACCAACAAACCAAATAAAAAAGGTGATTATTTATTTTCATAGCCTTTTGGCCATAATTCTTTTTTAATATTTTTTTTCTTATAAGAGACACTGTTTTGGCTAAAAACCACAAAAGTATTAGTAGCTGTGGCAGTAGCAGCTTCAGCAACAACAATGACAACATCTTTAAATTCTTCTTATTTATTTCTAAAGAAAGTTTATTACGTTTTTTGTTTTCCAAAGATGTTTTTCATTTCAGTGTCCTTGTTTTTTCCAATTTTTTCTTATTTTCTGTTTTTTACAAAATCATTGTAAATTGTAGTTTGTTCTGTTTCTTTAAGGGATTCCTTAGCAAAAAAAAAAAAAAAACATTTCTTTTTTCTCCCAATATTGTGAAGGTAAATTTTAGTTTGTTGCAAGTTGAAAGAAGAATGGGGAAAAATGTTGTTGAAGAAAAGAAGCTCTTAGAAGTGAAAAACACTTCTTAAGTATCTTTTTTTGTACTTTTTCATTCCGCTTATTTTCGTTTTTTTTTTTTAATATTTTCTTCTTCAACTTGGTGTATCTTTTGTTTTCTTGTTCTCCATTTCAGTTTCTGTATTTGTGTAATTTTCTTTTGATAAGAAAATATTTTGCTATTGACGCTAATTTTAATTATGTTACTCAAATCGTTGATGAAAAGAAAAACTTGGCATCATTTCTTTTAACGTTTTTTGTTTTTCATTAAGTTTTTCTTTTTGAACACAATAGATTTGTGTTGCAAGTTTAATGTTTTTTTTATGAAATTTTGTTTTGTTTTAAGATACTTTAAGGTGTTCTAAAAGTTTGCTTTATGAAGGTATTGTCTTTAATAAAGACCCTGAATTTATTTAAATTAAATTATTTTAATTAAATTTAAGAGATTTAAAATTTGAGTCTGCGCTATAGTCAAGACAAAGACTGGTTTATAGTCAATACTATAGACTAGTCTATAGTCAACACTATAGACTGGTCTATAGTCAAGACTATAGATTGGTCTATAGTCAAGACTATAGATTGGTCTATAGTCAAGACTATAGACTATAGAGTGGTCTATAGTCAAGACTATAGACTGGTCTATTGTCAATACTGTAGACTAGTCTATTGTCAATACTGTAGACTAGTCTATAGTCAAGACTATAGACTGGTCTATAGTCAAGACTATAGACTGGTGTATAGTCAAGACTATAGACTGGTGTATAGTCAAGACTATAGAGTGGTGTATAGTCAAGACTATAGACTGGTGTATAGTCAAGACTATAGATAGGTCCATAGTCAAGACTATAGATAGGTCTATAGTAAAGACTATAGATTGGTCTATAGTCAAGACTATAGATTGGTCTATAGTCAAGACTATATACTATAGACTGATCTATAGTCAAGTCAATACTATAGACTGGTCTATAGTCAAGATTATAGATTGGTCTATAGTCAAGATTATAGGCTGGT